AGTTAACCCAAAAATTCTGTTGGACCACTGAGGAGTTTTATTTTTAGGTCTGCTCCACCTTGTTTCACAAAGATTCATGGCTGCTTGCAAAAATATATCTGATGAAAAGAGATAAAATGAATAGTCTTTAGAAAAGTCAGCAAAGGATGGAAAGGAAAGGTGTAAGACTGGAGCACGGTGAGCACAGATTTCAGCGCCCTGATTGCTGGATGGGGGTGACAAATTTGGCTCTCAACTCCCCAGTGCAAAACAAAGAAAAAAGATAGTATCATTTACCTGATTCACGGTATTTCTAGATTTCTCAAAGTTTCTCAGAAGAAGCGTGACTTTTCCTAGTGCTGAGATGTGCAAGATTTTTCTCCCTTGATTCCTCATAAAGAGGACACTGGATCAGTCAGGAGATGGTTCCACTGTGAGGAACCAAAACCCAAACCAACAGTGGCTTGGGCAAGATAGAATTTTATGTCTCTCTCAAGTTGGCATGGGCAGTCCAGGGCTAGAATGGCTCTTGATGGGTGTCAGAACTCAGATCTTTTATATTGTTACTCTACCTCATGGTGCAAGATGGCTGTTGAAGCTCTGGACAAAATGTCCACATTCCAGCCAGCAGGAAGGAGGAAGGAGTGATGAAGGATATACCTCCACCCTTAAAGATACATCCCAGAAATTGCAGAGGATACTTCCGGTTACATTCCATTGACCAGAACTTAATCACATGGCCACACCTCACTTCAAGGGAGGCTGAAAATGGAGGCCTTATTCCAGGCCTAGGTAAAGGTGGGCTTTCTATCACTAAAGCAGAGGGCAGTATATTAGTTTGCTAGGACTGCTGTAACAAAATACCACAGACTGGGTGGCTTAGACAACAGAAATTTATTTCCTCACAGTTCTGGAGGTCCAAGATCAAGGTGTGGGCAGAGTTGTTTTTCTCTGAGGCCTCTCTCCTTGGCTTGCACATGGCTGCCTTCTCGCTGTGTCCTCACATGGCCTTTCCTCTGTGTGTGCACATCCCTGGTGTCTCTCTGTGAGTCCTAATCTCCTCTTCTTATAAGGACACCAGTCATACTGGGTTAGGACCCACCCTAATGGCCTCATTTTAACTTAATCACCTCTTTAAGGGCCCTATCTCCGAATACAGTCACATTCTGAGGTACTAGGGGTTAGGGCTTCGACATATGAATTTGGAGAGGATGCAACTCAATCCGTAACAGGCAGAATAGATACTGGAGAACAATGAGAAGACCACATATTCTGCCAGCATCCCTGTAACTGGATAAATAATACATTCTTTGGAGCCATTTGTTCTGTGCCCTCTTTTACATCCAAGTCTCCTTGAGACCAAGAGTTTTAGGACCTAGTGCACTGCTTTCCACCTCAAGGCACTCAGTGAACACCTGCAGATGATGGTGGTCACCACCCAAGGAATCACAGAGACTGGTAGGCAGGATTCCTGATTCTCCACTGCCTTCTCTTCCCACCACGCTGCGCTGACTCCTTCAAGGTCTAACGACCAGCACATCACCACATGGAAACTTAGAGTCGTGTGCTTTAGTCCCAGATTTTCCATATCAGAGATCACAAGGCCCTAAAGCAGTCATTGCTGGCCCTGGTTTTGCACAGTTCTAGGACTTCTAGAGATATCCCAGCAGGTCTCAAACTATTTTAAATGCTTATATCAAAAGTCATTTGAATTTTTTCTGGATCGTTGTGCGTTGTTTTGTTTTCTGTGGACACTCCGCAGAAGTTTTAGGAGGTAAGGATTGTTGTTGGAAGGTCAAAGCCAGGATGCCACAAGGCCAGGAAAAGTTGGATAATCAGTGCCCAAACCTCAGAAGCTTCTCCCCAGGGCTGAGACTAATCACCATGCCAGCAGCCCCAGCTTGGGCAAAGGCAAAACAGGCCCCAGACTTGGAACTGTACTCTTTTTCCACTTTTCTAACCAGCTTGCAAGCTGTCACCATTGAACACCAGAGTGAGATTGCACTTGGCAAGAAGACAAAGACAATTTCCTGTAATATATGCTGACAGCCTTGCTCCCAGGACACTTCTCGAATCCACCCCAGGGTTCTGGGCTCCTGTACGTCTCTATAGCAGGACTCGTCCCCAAGAGGCCATGAAGTCCCCATGGAGAACACTGTTTATACAGCCTAAGACACAATCTCTTCTCCTTTTCCATTTCCACCCTAGCAACAGCCACCTCAAATGCAGCTTTTGGAAGCCACACAATATAGCTAATTGTTTGCATGGGACAGTAGTATGTTTAGAGATTATGCATCTAAACAGACAATTATTTTCTGCTATTTGCTAGTGGCACTGCCTGCCTGGTGACTTTGGCAGATGGAGAAAGGAGCTAATCCGTAGGTTATAAGCAGAAGGGTTATTGATGAAATGTCACCATCTGTTGGTGTCATTAAAATGATATGAGGCATAAAGAGTTGCTTTTCTTTTTTCTCAGAAAAAGGTTAGCTTAGAGTTTAGAGAGAAGTTGCTAGATTGCAGACAGCAGTGGGGGACCAGACTGGGGAAGGGAATGTCAACCCTGGAAGGGGGAGGAGCCTTATGAACCCATCAGATCAGCTTGATGGGTCTTCAAGGAAGTGCTGGAATCCTCTGCCTGAATAAAACCACCTACTTGCAGGAGATGGGGTACTTGTTAGGAATGATGCAGAGTCTCAACTTTCCCATGGTCCTCCCTGTTTCTGAGGCATCTACCAGGTGGGAAGGGGAAAGTCAGTCATTTGGGTTAAACAGAAAGATCGTATCTGTGAGGGAACAGTTAAAATGCACCTGTCTCCTTAATCCTCCTTGGGCCCACGACACAGAGATTATTCATGTAGTCAGCTGACTCCTTGGGAGGCTGGTGAGCCCAATAGGGAATGATGCTTCCTACATCTGCTACATCTCCTGGGAGGAGATGGAAGTGGTCAGAAGAGGAACCAGGGAGAGCATCTGCAAGCTCCCATTAGGGCTGAGAGCCCTCAGGATGGAGTAGAGAAAGCAGTGGCTAGACCTCATGAACTGCATAGCAAAGGAAACAGCTTTTGGTTTTGTTGACTTTCTCTGTTGACTTCTTGTTTTCCATTTCATTTTCAATTTCTTTTCTGATTTTTATTTGTCTTCTGCTTACTCTGAATTCAATTTGCTCTTCTTTTTCTAGTTTCCTAAGGTGGAAGTGTAGATTATTGATTTTAGATCTTTCTTCTTTTCCAACATATTGCATAGCAAAGGGATGAAGAGCATGAGAAGTATATTTAATGAGGATCCGGATGACCAAAATAAAGTGCACCAACTTCCTAATTCTGCCTTCTTACCTAATCCTCTTAATTCCCTCATATTTGCTGTTTATACAGTCTTTTACCCACTGCCGAGGACATACGCTCAAAAAGAAAGAACCCGTTATTACCAACCTTTTTCAGTATGGCTTAAGATTCCTTTTTTATTATTTTTATTTTTAATTTAAACTCCTGGAGAGAAAGTGTGAGTGATTGTGAAAACCTCTACAAATCCCTTTGGCAGTATCAGAATTTAAATTATAAATAAATAAACAACACTGCAGCGAGTCGGTCCTCATATGCAGCCCTGCCTCTAGCTTCCTCCTTTTCCGCTCTGCCAACCGGCCCAAGCCTGCCCCAGCTGCCAGCTCCTTAGGGAGAGAGGTGCTGGTGAGAGTCAGCGCGGCTGCCTGAAGTAGGGCATGACGCTGGAGGCAAGAGCCACGGGGGCAGGAGCTTTATGAGGCCTATGCGGGTTATTTATATGGTCTCTAAAGGAAGCATCCTGAAAAAGCTCCTGTTGATATTTTTAGATCTGATGCTGGGTCCTGCTGCTGCACTTTCGTTTTTAAACAAGCAGGGAAGGGAGTGATTGATGCTGTCTGAAGTGCTGTGTTGGAGGCTCCGAGAGCCCGCCTGACAGGCTAATGGTCGTCCTGCCAGCCCAGATCCGCCTTCTGTCTCTTCTAGCTCTGGGACTTCAGAAGCTGCTGACTTCAGCGGGCAGCGAATAAAACCCGGGCCACTTGCTGCCAAGTCGGCAACTCTGAAGTTTACACCCTGGCTCTGGGGCCCTGTGCGGTTGACACCCACAGGTTCAGTTTTGCTCTGCTTCCAGACTATTTCTCTGAGAATGGGGCATATGTTTGCATAATAAGCCTTTGGCTGCAAGTAAAAGGGTTTAGAATTTAACGAGGTGATTAAGCAGGTTAAAAACACAACCACACAATAATCCATGAGTTTAGCTATTCCAGGGCCAGTGAAGGGAACTGAGTATTGTTACTGAATTGTTTCTGTGGTTACTCTCATTTGCCCACTCAAATCAATGATCCAAAAAAATGTTTTTATTTATTTATTTTTTATTTATTTATACTATTTTTGCTGAGGAAGATTGGCCCTGAGCTAACATCCGTGCCCATCTTCCTCCATTTTGTATATGGGACGCCGCCACAGCATGGCTTAACAAGCGGTGCATCGGTCCGCACCTGGGATTTGAACCTGCGAACCCTGGGCCACCAAAGCGGAGCACACGAACTTAACCACTATGCCACCAGCCCAGCCCCAAAAATGTTTTTATTTTTAATCAAAAACAACTCTGCCCAAGGATTCTGAATCCTGTGGCTTTCTGCTCAAGGAGAAGGGACGGGGAGAAGGTGGACACTGGGGTCTTTGGCTCTGCAGATATGGTTTCTCATAAAAAGTTCATGGATTGTAGCTGCAGTCCACTCCAGTTGAACGAGCAGTTTATGAAAGTGAGAAGCTGAAGAGGTTCAGAGAGAGAAAAGAAAGTTCTTAAATTCTCATGGCAGGGCAATGTCTTGTTTGTTCCTGGGCTTCACATTGCGACAGATGGGCTTCTCTTACAAACCTAAAAATTACACGGATGAAGCTGCTGAGATGGCCCAAGAAAACTCCTAATGGGGTCTGGAGCTTCCCTCCTTGCTTTGTGGCCTGTGGACGTTAGTGTCCTTTTTGTTTATTTTCTCTCTCTCTCTCTCTCTACAACAGACCACAGAGACGGGTGAAGATGAGGAGGACCAGCCGCTCAGCCTGACCTGGCCTTCCGACACCCGCAAACAAATCACGTTCCTAATTGTTTTACCCATAGTGTTTCCTCTCTGGGTTACCTTACCTGATGTCCGCAAACCTGTGAGTAAAGCATTTGTGAAATCGGTTCCTTATTAAAAGCCTCGTAGATAACAGTATGCATAGTCTGCCTCTATTTGTCTTAAAAAGAAGGGTGACATATGTGTATGCTTATAAATGCCTGAAATTTCTCTGGACAGATACACAATAATAGTGATTGTTTGGGTTATCAAATCTATGTAACAAACCACCCCAAAACTTAGTGATGTGAAACAACCATTTTATTCTGCTCGTGGATCCTGTGGATCAGGAATTCGAATAGGACCCATTGGGGATGGCTTGTCTCTGCTCCACAATGTCTAGGGCCTTAGCTGGGAAGACTTGAATGGCTGGCAGTGATTCAAATGGCTGGGGGCTGCAGCTATCTGGAGGCTTCTTCACCGATGTTTCTGGCACCTGGGCAGAGATGATTCAAAGGCTGCGCTCAGCTGGGATTGTCTACTATAGAGCCTAAATGTGGCCTCTCCATGTGGCTTGGGCTTCCTCACAGCATGGTGGCCTCAGGAGAGTCTGATGTCTTACATAAGAGATCAGGGCTCTAAGAGTGAGTGTTCCAGCAACACAAGGCAGAAGCTGCATGGGCTTTGATGACTTGGTCTCAGGAGTCACGCAGAGTCACTTCCACTGTACTCTATTGGTTAAAGCAGTCATGAGTCTGTCTTGATTAAAGGGGAGGAGACAAAAAGTTCACCTAAAATATATCAGTGTCCTATAGCACATGACACTCTGGATGGGAGGAGTGTCAAAGAATTTGCAATCATGTTTTAAAACTCCCATAGTGATTGTCTCTGAGAAGAAGAACTGAAGGTCTGAGGCAGGAGGGAAACTCACATTTTGTTGACCATTTGTGTTCATGGATTATTCATTCAATTCAAAAAGAAATTCATTTGTATAGTGTAAATGCCTACATGTCTGATCTCCTTCCTGTATCATCATCATTACTATAATCAATATTAGTATCTAACATTATGTACTGGATGCTGTGAACACAATACCATCTTATGATCAGCAAAGTGAAATCTGAATGTAGATCAGATCAAAAGAACACCCCCTCCCAGTGTTGTTAACCTGGGTTCTTGGGCCATTGCCCCAGAGGGTAAAAACTAATGAGAAATAAAGAGAAACAGTTCTACCTTTTATTATGGCCCTACACACACATACTCATTCAACAAAAGTGTGTACCTACTATGTATCAGACTCTACCCTAGGTATTTTCAATAAACTATATTGTGGAATCTTAGGAGAAAAAAAAAATATATATATAGTATGTTATTTATATATACATAAAATATTATTATATTATATTACAGGCATAAGTAGAAAGAAACCTAGGCACAAAGAACTTAACTAACTCATGCCTGGTCACTTTCTAGGGAAGGTGGAAATCTGAAACATCATTTCTAAAAGCATTTGGAGTAGAATACTGTGGTAACATGCAGCATAATTTAGCATAAGTCTTCAAGAAACCCCTTGAAAAGGACAGAATAAAAATCTTTTCCCATTAGCCTGACCTATAAATAATCCAGCCTTGTGGAGAGCCATGTCTTGTCAAGGACAGGCCAGGAAAGGACCTCCTCATGTAAGGACTCCTGACATTAGCAGTTTCCTAGTGAAGGATGCATGTAACAGATGTGGCTCACTTAAAGCAGTATTTAGGTTTCTCTATTCAAGATGCAATTGCAGAGCAGCTGCTCTATGCAAAGGCCTGGCTTCCTGGAAACCTACAGCCAGAGAGCTGGAATGTATTCAGTTTTCTCTGGGCTCACATCACATCTGAGATGTGCGTGCTCATATGCACTCATTCACTCGCTCTATTTCCATTGCTCTGCTGTTCAGCCCAAAGCTTTTGCTCGGCCTGGGAGGAAAATCAGGGAGGCAGACAGACGTGGTTTTCTAAATCCCCGCAGCAGGCCCAGGGTGGTGTGGCCCAGAGTAGGGGGTACCGATTGACTGATAAGAGGATGTCAGCACACAATCACTGAAGCAGTCAGGAGAATGTGCAGGAATGGGAGGAAGATGCCAATAACTCAAGGCCCTGGGCTCTCAGGGCTGGATGGAACTCTTAGAGCAAGGGCTGGCAAAGTGCTCATCTTCTCCAAGATCTCAACTGAAAGATCAAGCAAGCTGTCAGGGAAGATTAAAGCTCTCAACCAGCAACTCTTGGACAACACACAGGACTCCACCACGGCAGTCGTTACCTGGATGACAACTGCCCTGGCTGATGCTATCATCCTGAGGGGTATAAAGTATGCAAATGCGCTGTGCATGATGCTCTCCTCTGCCATACTGTTGACGGGGCATTCAACGTCCGGTGCACCTTGAGAGCCTGCCCCTGCAGCCTGGGCTAGGGTAGCCCACAGATCTTTCTCTCATTGCATCCCGAGGTGACATCCCTGAGATGGACTGGATTTTTCTGTCTTTTTCTGAGTATACTGTGTGCTGTCTCAAGCAGAAATAAGACTCTCAGGTGGAACATTTGGTTGTTTTTAGATTTGCTCAGCAAATATTTATTAAGCACCTATTATATGCCAAGTATCAGGCTTGTGCCCTAAGAGAGATATAAAGACACAGAAGTCACAGTTCCTATCTTTAAGGAGCTCTAAATGTAGTAGAGGAAACAAAGCATGCCCACATTTAACTACAGAGCAAGACTACACAGCTGTATTTGTGAGAGGAGTAGACTCGAACCCAAGCCTCCTGACTCCAGAGCATTCTCACCCTACCACGATGACTGTGGTGGTTTTTCCCACACAACTCATGAGCTGTGAAACCTTGGGAAAGTCACTTCTCAACTCTGGACCTCATTTTTCCTCCTCTGTGAAATAGAGGGTTGGAAAATGGATAGATTCTCTGCCAGCCATGACATCCTGTGATTAAGGAAAGAGTAAAGAGATAACCATCACTACGATATTGCAAATTTAAGGTCACCGTACTTCCCAGTTCACCTGGGACAGTCCTAGTTTATTCTCAAAGCATACTGCTTTGAAAGATGAATTATATGGTCGTCCTTTGTGTATATGAAATGCTACATGAAAGAAACCATGCCAGTTGATACAAAAGCCAATAAGTGGCTTCTTCATCATGCTTGGCACAGAAGAACTTTATTAGGTTTGATCTTGTATCAGTTATCTTTTGCTCTGTAACACGCCACCCCAAAACTTAGTGGCTTAAAACAACAGGCATTTTTTTAGCCTGTAATTCTGTGAATGGGCCATTTGGGCTGGGCTCAGCTGGACGGTTCTGCTGCTCACTTATGTGGCTGGGGGCTTGTTGGCATAGGAGTGTCTCAGCTGGAACAACTCGTCTCTGCTCCACATGGTCTCTTCTCCTTCAGCAGGCTAGCCTGAGCTTATTCACATGATGGCCAAGTTCCAAGAGCAGCAAGAATGAAAGCCACAAAGCCCTCTTGAGATCTAGTTTGGAATCTGCACGCTATCACTTCCACCACATTCTGTTGGTCAAAGCAAGTCAGAAGGCCAGCCCAGATTCACAGGGTGGGGAAAAGGACCTCACCTCGTCATGGGAGGAATTGCAAAGTGTTGTGGCCATTTTTGCAGTCTACCCAGTCCTCATGTACTGTCACAAGGGCCTCTTGAAAAAACATCCAGGGAGAGGAGAGAGGAGAAAATTATTAAGTAATAGACATTCGTTACTCCTCAGGGCCTGGCAGCTCTGCCTCCTCGCTAGTTTTTGAATTACCCATGGTGATGAACGGCCCAAACCTCGACAGTAATTACAAGGAAAACATGATTTTTTTAACATGTGTACATCTAGTTTCAGAGTAAATAGTACTCCCACTTGTTTTTATTTCCACTTCATTTATATGCAAATGATATGACAGCGTTTGTTTGATTATGCCTACTTCCAGCTCAGATAATTAATGTGGGCTTCACTGTTACAGTTTTCTTAAATTAATGGCTTCTTTTTAAAATGTAAACCTTAATGAGGAACATGTCTTTGATGAAAATTGAAAATAATCAAGGAAATAAAGATCCAAAAAGTTATATTCTCTCATGGCCTCGGATGGGTGTTCTTACAAAATAGGAATGCATCTAATGAGCTATCAGAACATGACCCATTAGAGCTAGGAAGGTACCTGAGAACACAGCAAAGTTTTTGCAATTTCTATCCTGCATTGATTCATTCACCAAGTATTTATTGTGTCTACTATGTTCCAAGCACAGTTCTAGCAAAGTGGAAGTGATTGAGACTCAGAGAGGTTTAGTGCCTTGTCCAAGCATGCCCAGCTAGTAAGAGGCAAAGCCAAGACTCTAGGTTAGGTCTCCACAGTCGCTTTTACCTCCCTGAGTTTCAGTTTCCTCATCTCTTAAAAAAATCAAAGTGAGGATCATATTGTCTAATAACAACTCCCATTATTATCTGAGTACTTGGGATGTGTCAGGCACTCTGCTAGACACTTTATGTGCATGAAATCCTCAGAACAACTAGATATTGTTATTCACCCCATTTTACAGATGAAGAAACCGAGGCTTAGAGAGATTAAATAATCTGTCTCAGGACACATCACTGGTCATTAGTGAGCAGGGATTTCAATACCGATCATATTAATCCAGAGACCACCCTTTTAATCTTTAATAGGATTGTTTGGGGAACTTTATTAAACATGTACACCCCAGAACCTTGCACAGAGTGGATGCTCAGTGAGTAGTTGTTGGATTTAAATCAGTAAGGCTATGACCAATTTGCACAACAAGCTAACGTCCAGCAACATTTTTCAAGCCAAGAAAATATCACTCTGATGTTCTAAAAGCTTCTAATGAGAACATTAGCTGTCAATTATACAAGTAAACCGTTACATTGGGAACAAAATGGCCGGCACATGGACCCAATTTGCTTTTTGCTAATTAGTATGAGGCCCATCCCAACAGATGTTAGGATGCACCACCATTACTAACCATAAATCGACATGTCAAGGGCTTCAAAATAGCCCGATTGGCTTCAAGAGCTATTTTCTTCCTTCCAAAGAGACTGGTAACTAAATAACTGTACAGATGCTACTGGATGTCTAGAATGAGACCATAAAGTCCAAATAAGGGGAATAGTCCAGAAAAAATGAAAGAAGAAGGAATTACCTGGGCTGTGAGATTGGAAATGGTAGGATAGTTTGACAGTTGGGAAACACTTAACGAGACTGCTGATGCATGAATAGTTGATGCTTCCAAAGCAGAAACAATATGGGAGGTTGGGTGAGGCAGATGGCCATACAGCTGGAATGCTAGTACATCTTTCTCTGATGCTCTTTATATTTTCTGACATTCAGAGCATAGGCTAGTATGATGATCATCATCATCACTATGTCTACAGCCAGGTATATTTTGAGCATTATTGGCCCTGTTTTTCTTTAGGAAACAGTCGGTATAACCTAGATGTTAGGAACACATGCTGTATAGTTAGGCAGACCTAGGTGTGAATTTCATCTCTAGTGCAAGATCTTGGTACAGCGTAGGTGCCCAGCCTTTACCTACTCTTAGTTTATGATGAAGACGTGAAAATTCACAATAATAAATTATTTTTAACCTTTTCTTTCATTGACCCCTAATATATTTTGATATCCTCTAATTACTAATTGGCTTCTTGATTAAGACTCAGGAGCATCAAATTTTGAATTAGAAAAATTTTTACTAATATGTTGATTAGAACTCAGTTCCTTTAAATCCTTCATCTGATTCTTTATTTTCTACCTTTCGACTGGAAATGTTCTATGATTCAGGGACGACATTTTTCAGATGAGAAATATGTTCAAATGACTTGATTTTGAATTGTGATATTATATTAATGAATGGATATGCAAAGGTACAAAAAATAAAATAGTAATTACATACTTAGTAAATGAGCTAACCTGGAAAGTGAGCAATCAATCTATGAAATGAGGCCTCTCCCAGGATATCCAGTACATATGACGTGCCATAAAGTATGGAGACAGCATTCCATTTCCCTCACAGGATGCCCAGAATCAAGCTAACAGACTGGTTGCTGCTCAAATCACATGTGGCCCCACACCACAAGAGGCACCCTTCTCTTCCCTGTGACCGTGTGGCCAGAGGAGATGAAACCCTCATCACGCTTGGGATCCTCAAGTAGTGACTTGTGACCAGAGGAAAAGAATGGGGACTCCAATCAGCTAAATGCCTTGCCTGGGAAAACCTGATTTCTCAGCACTGACCAGTCCAAGGCTCAGGGAATCTGGTCTCCAGAATCCAGCTGAATTTCCAGCTTTAAAGGAATTTGCTTTCAGAAGTGAATGTCTCAATCTTTGCTTTGAAAAACTTACTTTTTTTTTCCATAACCCATTAAAGTGCTCAGGTCCTCAGAAGGGGTCTGAGTCTTTGGCCAAAATATTTTCCTTCTAAGAAAGGAAAGGGGTGGGGGGAAGCATTTGAAAATAAGGTTGTGGCTACTCACGGCAGCCTTTTGCCTATTTAATCAAGCCCACTGGTCTTCCAGACACCCCAGCTAACAAATGGCCCAAAAAAAGCAGCAATCATTAAAAGAAAGAAATGCTTATTGTGAAATTTAACAGAACTGTGTGAATGATAATGAAAACTTGAAATTAGTAAAGAGACTATAAGCCTGGTTTGGAGCGATAGAGACTGTGTTCATCATTATAGATATTCAAAAGATTATCGTGTACAAGTTTATCATTTCCTTTTAATGAAGCTATCAAAAGCCATGGCAAAAAGTGTTCTACACGACTGCCCAAGGTCAGCCCTTCAGACAATTGAGATAGTTTTCATCCAAATCAACTCCAGGATTCGTTTCTCTGGACAAAATTGGATGGCATTATCAAAGCAAAACATGAGATTGTTTCTCAAAGTGGAAAGCTTTGAAATAAAAAGTGTTTGGCAATAATGGGTGAGAGGCTCTCTGAGAACATTCTGCTATCTGAGTATGTTTTAAAGGACGTGGATTTTGCAAAAAAAAGGCATCAACAGAACACCACTACAATCCAGTGCAAGTCTGAATTTCCCTGTAGTGGGATCAGGTAAGAAACACTGCATTTTGAGTGTCTAACTTTGATCAATATTGGAAGGAAACTTTAAAAGTGCTCACACTGTAAGCCTGAGATTGCACAAAATCCAGTGCTAGAGGCAGAACTGGATGTAATATAGTTTGGGGTGGAGAACAGGAGAGAAAACATTCCCAAGAGCGTCTACTCTGCCATCCCAGTGGAGAACAGCACGATGGGGCATCTCTACCTCCGTTACTCCAGTTAACATGTGGTTCAAATGTCCTGCACTGGCCATCATCAGGGATCTATGGAAACCATGGTGATGGCTTCTTCTATGTGGCTTTTCTTGATAATTCATGGGATTGCAAGATGAACCAATCTATTTTTTCTTTTTTTTTTTCCCTCCCCAAAGCCCTAGTACATAGTTGTATATTCTAGTTGTAAATCCTTCTAGTTCTTCTATGTGAGCCACCGCCACAGCATGGCTACTGACAGGCAAGTGGTGTGATTCCGCACCCGGGAACCAAACCCAGGCCACCTAAGCAGAACGCGCTGAACTTGAACCACTAGGCCATCAGGGATGGCTCGAGGCAATCTGTTTTTGAACCTATTGATCTTTTCTGTTTCTTGTTAAATGTGATTAATCCCATAGGTTTTCTGGCATATGGATTATTAGGATCCATGGATTGAAGCAATAGAAACTGATTCTGATGAACTTGAGCAGAAGAAAGAAAAGGGAGCAGGAGAAGGAGGGAGAATAGGGAGTAGTTAAGAGTTTAAAGGCAAGGCTGAGAAATCAGGCCTTGGAAAGGGCGGGAGCAGAGGGCGTCTGAGGAGCCAGCAGCAGGAACAGACAGTTCTCTTCAAGTGACTTACATCTCTGGTACTAGCTTCACAATGATTTGGCTCCAACTGCTTTCCCATTCCCAAGAGGAAACCTTCCTCTCCCAGCTTGACCAGCGGTAGGTCAGGCGTTTTGATTGCTAATCCTACCGAGATCGCAGGCAGTGTGGGAAGAGTAGCTGTGTTGGTGTCTTCAGCTTTGGGCCATCAGATCCACCTTGGTTGACAGCACTGACGCTCTCCTCTTCCTGGTTCTCTTCCAGTCATCGAGGAAGTTCTTTCCCATCACGTTCTTCGGCTCCATCACCTGGATTGCAGTATTCTCTTACTTGATGGTCTGGTGGGCACACCAGGTAAGATCTTGATAGCGACACCATCTGCCTGGTTTTTCTTGTGGTTGCCAAGTGGTTAATCAATGCGTTTTCTTTCTGAAACTGTCACAACAGTATTGTGTCTGACAAGACAAGGTACGTATTCCAGCAGTAAAGGAATTGACTCCACGTAACTTTCCCTCGCCTCCTGGCTTTTCCCTGCAGTGTGGAACCAGACTGGCATAGCCCCAGGCAGCCATGTGGAGGAAGGCAAGCACTGCTTCTTGCCCTCTGCAGCCTGGAACCAGGCCAACCCAAGCCTGGGAGGAATGTCAAGGGTCCGCCTGGCTCCGTGGCATTTACTTTCTCTTGGGCAGCCGCTCACCTCATGTTCTCACCAGCCTTTCAAATGCGTCTTAGGAAAAGACCTAGAGACAAGTGGTCTCTTCTTTGAGCATCAGTTTATAAAAACGATGATGTATTTCACTTGTACCACTTCTAACTTAATACCAATCATAATGCCCATCACAAGAATAAACTCTCAGGAATTGTTTGTTGTAACACATGAGGGAAAGAATGAGATGCAAAGATTTCACATTCTCAAAGAGAATAGTGGTAACCAGTATTGATTGAATGTGTACTGCGTGCCAGGCAATTTACATCCCTTTGTGCTTATAATCTTGATAATAACCCTGTACATAGGTACCAATCCAATGAGGGAGGGAGTGTTGTTGTCTACAGTTTACAGATAAAGGAGTTAAGCTCAGAGCTAATAAGAAAATTGCCCATTAGACCTCAATTAAAAAAAAAAAAGAAAATTGCCCAAGATCATATAGGCAGTAAACAGCAGAACTGAGATGCTAACCCAGAACTCTGCAACTCCAAAACTCATGCTTTTAATCTCTACTATAAACTACATAAATTCCAAACGGCCCACTCATATCCTTTGTTTAATACCGTCTTAAAATTATTACACTTATTAACATAAATAAAATATAGCAATTTGAAATAAGGAAATACACACCAAGAACTTATATGGGTAGACATCTCAACAAATGGTGCTGGAATAATTGGATTTCCATATGCCAAAATAAATAAACTTAGACCTTTACCTCACACCAAATTCAACAATTAACTCAAAGTGGATCATAGTTCTAACTGTAAGAGCTAAAACTATCATGTGTCTAGAAGAAAACATTAAAAATCTACATGACCATTGGTTAGGCAAAGAGTTCTATGATATAACACCAAAGTATGATCCATTAAAGAAAAAATTGATTAATTAGGCTTCATCAAAATTCAAACTTTTGCTCTTCAAAAATGCCATTAAAAAATGAAACGACAAACCACAGACTAAGAGAAAATATTTGCAAATCATATATCCAGGGTATATGAAAAGTTCTTAAAACTCAATAATAGAAGCCAAGCATCTTAATGTTTAAGATGGACAGAAGATTTGAATAGATATTTCACCAAAGAAGATCTATAAATGGCTAATAAGCACAAGAAAAGATGCTCAACATCATTATTCATCAGAGAAGTACAAATCAAAACCACAACAAGATACCACTTCCCACTCACTAGGATGGATATAATCAAGAAGACAGACAATAACAAATGCTGGAGAGGATGTGTAGAATTTAGAACCGTTATCTATTGCTGGCAAGAGTGTAAAATAGTGCAGCCACTTTGGAAAACAGTTTGGCAGATCCACAAAATGTTAAGCATAGAGTTACCACATGATCCAGTGATTCCACTGCCTGTATACCCAAGAGAAATGAAAACATCTATGAAAAAAATTATACACAAATGTTCACACAGCATTCTTCATAATAGCCAAAAAGTAGAAAAACCCAAATTTCCATCAACTGATGAATGGATAAACAAAATGTGGTATATCCACACAATGGAATATTATTCCACAATAAAAAGAAATTGAGGTACTGACACATGCTACAATGTCAATGAACCTCTAAAATATTATGCTCAGTGGAAAAAGACAGTCACAAAAGATTACATGTTGTATGATTCCATTTATATGAAATGTGAAAATAGGCAAATCTATAGAGACAGAAAGTAGGTAATGGTTGCCTAGGGTTGGGTAGCTTGGAGGGAAGTGGGGAGTGATTGCTAATGGGGATGGAGTTTCTTCTTAGGATGATGAAAAAATTCTAATTTAAATTATGGTGATGGTTGCACAACTCTAAATACACTAAAAACCATTGAATTAATACTTTAAATGGGTGAATTTTATGGTAAGTGAATTACATCTCAATAAAGTTGTTTAAAAATAAACACGAGATATCACTTCACGACGATTAGGATGGCTATAATCAAAAACACAGACACATGTCAATGAGAATGTGGAGAAACAGAACTGCATACATTTATCAAAACTCACAGAACTAGACACTTTTTTTAATGGGTGAATTTTGCTGAATGTAAAATTATACTGTATGTAAATTACAACTTAATTTAGGAAAAAAAAAGGAATATACAGCATCACTAAAAATAGCCACTGGAAATGTCAGCTAATATAACCAGCATTATTCCTACAAGATATTTCATATTATTCCTACTGTAGTTATTTTTACTAATGTTTGATTTCAAATTTCTCTTCCTGGATATTTCCAAAATTTGTTGGTCCCCTGAAGAAGTTCTCTTTGCCCCAAAGTCATTATTTTCCACATTCATTGAGACACATTTGCTACCAATACCTGACAGAAATCGTTGCAGAAGGTAGGCTGCTTCTCAGCCTCCAGATTTCCAGGCTCCTTTTAGCCTGTTTGCCATTTATAACATCTAAAGACTTTTCCTAACAATTATTTTTATTCTTTCAAGTACTGATACAGAAAAAAAAAGTGGCGAGTTTTTTTTCACTTGCTAGGATATGTTGTTTTTTAGATATTTCTCTTTAGCCATCCTAGAAAACATCATCCTACAGACTTCCATCTTTTTCTTTCCTTTTTAATGATTATCTTAATTCCACAATCTTGTTTCCTTTTCATTCTCTTGTAGAAAACTACAAACACAATGCCTGCAACAATAATAATTACAAAAAGGCTCAGAAATATAAAGTGCATAAAGAGAAGCCCTCCTTTCCAATAATGGATGAGAAGTTTCTTTTTCTTTTCTCCTATTGAAATGCTTTTCTCTTTCAAAACATCCAGACAGCTGATCAAAATAGCAGATTCTGTTCTAAGAAGTCTAGCTCTAATTCTATTGTTTGTACTTTTGAACAATAAAAGCTATAAAGATTACAAGTGCAGCATGTAGTGCTCAACTATTTTGTTATCCACAGTTTTACCAATAATAAATGCCATTTGATACAATTATTTGGCTATTGTTTGGCCAAAAATAAATACCCTTCATATAAAATGCTTTATGCATATTTCCCTTAGTTTTTGTTATTATTTTGTTGTTTTTGCATCATGAATCTTTATCTTAGTAAATTTTTTGGGTGATGGAAATCTATGATTATAATCTATCCTGCATCTAGTATGAGAACTTAATTCTAAGAGTCAGATACAATCTTGTGTCTCATTTAGCCAGTATGACATTTTTGCAGTTCCTCCTTAAACCAAGGCAAGGAACCGCGTCGTGGAATACTAGGAGCAGCACTGGACTTGGATTCTGAGTGGCCCATCATTTACTTGTATTAGAAAACAAGGGAATTCCCCCCAAGAGACTGCTGATGTCCTTTCTAGCTCTAAACTCTGATGCTCCTCAGTTTGATCAGAGCACTGTCCCAGCTGTGCACCCATCATCTTTCCTCTGACTCACCAAAAGTCAACTTCAGTGAAATGTACTCAAAATAAACTTATGAAGACTAGTTCTCGTTCGGTGAAAGTGTATCTGGAGCCACACAGATTCATCAGGGGTCTGATGTGCAATGAAAATTCTTCATTATTCTTGTGATTTCCCATATTGTGGTCTGACTGTACTAAACCAGCTTCTGTCCCCACTGCCAGAGCCCTGATGGCGGCACTCTGATAGGTTGGAGAGGGAAAGGAGTAATGTCTGAGTTATCAGAGCTGATGTTTATTGAACATTTACTTTATGCCTGACACTGTGCTATTTGCTTTATATGCATCATCACATATAACCATCACAATAACTCTGAGGGTAGATATTATTATCCCCATTCTACAGTTGAGAACAACAGAGACTCAGGGAAGTTGGCTGCCATGCACTAGGAGTGGCAGGCTAGGATTTGCACCAGGGCTCTCTGTACCCCAAGCCAATACTCTTAACCATAGCACCATCCTGCCCCTCTTCAATTTCTGCATTTTTCTATCTATAGTGGCATTCAAGCTCCAAATATAGTTTTTGAAATAGTCAGTGCTTTAGAACTCCCTCTAAGAATTTAAATTATTAAGAATGTATTAAATAGATTGGAACTTACTAAGGGTGACAGTCATTTAGTCAGCATCTTCACGGTCTTTGAAAATGTTTTGCTCCAAATCTAACCAAAAAAATAAGTCATCAAGAAGACTATTTTGCTCAAATAGGCACTCCTGTGCAAAACTCTTATTTAACTTTCCCTAGGAGAATCAGCAAAAACCTAGTAAAATCACTGTAGTAAAATGCTAGTAAAATCACTGAAGTGTGCATATTGATTTGTTTATTCAGCAAATAGTATTGAGAACCTACCGTATCCCAGACTATGTTCTGCGTATTGAGGAAACCATAGTCATCAAGGCAATGATCCTGCTCACATGGACCTTACTTTCTGATGGGAGCAGTGAATCCATGTGCCACGAGGACGGGGTAACCTAGCTCAGAACAGGCATGACCATCAAACTAAAAATAGCTCCCAAAAGTCTTTTAAGCTAGTGGGAACCAAGCTTTTACTTATAAATCAAAAAGAAGCAATTTAGAAATGAGTTTATTCTATTCCCTAAAAACCTTTATTCTGATATGCTACTTTGTCCCTTTAAATTTTTTCCACAAACAATGGATGTCATCAGGGAGGCTATTGGAAACCAAACTGAAAGCATTATCTTAAATTTTAAGATATCTTTATCTTTAAATTTTCAAAATTGCAGTCCACCAACTACAGAAAATACATAAAGCTTTTAGAAGTCCCAAGGAGACAAAAACTTGCTCAAGAGAATGGAGAGCTTCCATGTGAGGCTAGACCAACTGTCCAAAATAGAATTCATCAGTCTTTTTTTTTGTGTGTGTGTGAGGAAGATCAGCCCTGAGCTAACATCCATGCTAATCCTCCTCTTTTTGCTGAGGAAGACCGGCTCTGAGCTAACATCTATTGCCAATCCTCCTCCTTTTTTTCCCCCAAAGCCCCAGTAGATGGTTGTATGTCATAGTGCACATCCTTCTAGTTGCTGTGTGTGGGACGCGGCCTCAGCATGGCCGGAGAAGTGGTGCGTCGGTGCGTGCCCGGGATCCGAACCCGGGCCGCCAGTAGCAGAGCGCGCGCACTTAACTGCTAAGCCATGGAGCCAGCCCTGAATTCATCAGTCTTAAAAGGCAAAGACCAAAAGAAAATATAATAACCGCCCCTCCGCCGCCATCGCTTTTCAATAATGATGACTATTTACCAAGGGCTTTTCCACAAATTATCCTTTAGTCCTCACAACCACCTTGTAAGGAAGTATTATCATCCTACGTTAAGGACAAGAAAGCAAGGATCGAAGACATTGTACAATCGATTCAGTTAGCAATAGGTGAAGTACTTAATAAACGCCAGAGCCAGACCTTGGACTCTGATTCCCTCACTGTTGCTTTCTCCACGGCTGCCTTGCTGACTTACAGTCCTGTATTACCAAATCCAAAACACCCCAAATCACGTTTCCTGTGCAATTGGTGGAGTCTAAAAGTATTTAAGAGTGGGCTACAGACACCAGGAGATGTCAAGGAAAAATGAGGATACTGGGTGTCAGTCCTTAACCTTCGATTTTAATCCAAGAGCAAATCTGCCACAGAATTTGGTACCATTGGCAAGTAGTGGCCACTGAAGCCAATGACCAATTGGCTTTTATAACTAATCTTCTGCTTCCCTTGCTCAGTCTCAGTAAACACCAAACAGACACTGCACTCAAGCCCTCTAGAGCACTTTTTTGAGATTATCTGTTTAATCCCCATGTGAACGTTCCTGATCTCTTGGGTCTGAATATTGCACAAGTATGAACTCCTCTATGGCGATGATTGTGGCTTATTCCTCTTCATCATGTCATCCTCAGCACAGCATACATAACTCACTAAAGAGAGTTGCCTTGAAATGTCTGTGGTTTTGTGACTTCAGATGCTCCCATGTTTGTCCCTGTTATCACTTATAGGTTGGTGAAACAATTGGCATTAGTGAAGAGATTATGGGTCTGACCATCTTGGCTGCTGGGACCTCCATCCCTGATCTTATCACCAGCGTCATAGTGGCCCGGAAGGGGCTTGGGGACATGGCCGTGTCCAGCTCTGTTGGAAGCAACATTTTTGACATCACCGTAGGGTGAGTAGAGATAGTTCTATAAAGGTGCACACCAGCTCACTGCTGTCTTTGTCTTCTTAGACGCTGTGAAGACATGACCAGGATCTCTGAGCCCAAAACTAACCAATACGAACAGAAAGTAAAGACTGGGAGTACCATTCAGTTTCACCAACTCCATTTTTCATTTTCAGAGAACTTAATGAAGAATAAGTTATCACTAGACAGGCAGAAACACATACCTGCATACAGAGGGGATGTTGTAGGAAATACTTTAAGAGAATTTCATTTATATAATGGCATTGGCTACAAGTTATGAATATTCGATATTCAGGTGTGATGGAGATGCTCTGGTAGTTTCACTATGTTTCTGTACGTATTCTAATTCTAACTAAAGTCCCCACCAGCCTAAGGTGATGTTTGGATTGTAAAACAGATTGGAACAGACGTAGGCCCAGTGAAAATATCCCATCTCCTTCTTTGGAACACGCTGGCAGGTTTGGCATTTGTTTATCTGTGCTGGTGAAAGTAGCCTAGGTTTTTTGAAAGTCAGAAGATGAGATCTGTTCTTACAGTTAAGCAAACTGGCCTTCTCAATATGAATAATCCCTAAAGTGGATCAGGTTGGGGAGGGATGCTGTTGTCTCTATCATTTCATTTAACTTGTCAAAAGTAAAAGTAGTATGATAAATAACCCCAAATGGCAGCCCCCTGAGAAAGTAAGACATGGGATGTTACCATGTTTCCAGAAGAACTTGAATTTTGAAACTCACTAAAATGGACCTAATTTCTCATTGAACATCTTGAATATTGTTCTCTCTTATACCTTTTCATTACCTGTATCTTTTTCATTCACTGTCTACCTTGTGCACTGTACATACATTTTTATCCACTTAAATCACACAATGATCCTATGAGAGATGTATTCTCATCCTCATTTTTCAGATAAGGAAACTGAAGGGCACAGAGTTCACACAACTAGTAAATAAGATAGCTGGGATCTGAACAGTCTGTGCTCTCAACAGCACCACCATCTGTGCATAAAACCCTGCTTTGAGCTTCCACTGTCTGAACCACCTTTGAGTTCCAAAGGTGCCCTCTCCTACCGTATTTCCTTCCTTCGCAGGCCCCTCTCACTCAAGAGCCCTCCCTGCTGGTCTGTCTGGAAAACTCTAACTTATCCTTCCAATGTCAACGCAAATCCTGGCTCCTCTGATTTCCTTGGGTCTGACCTGGGGACTCTTGCTCCTGTATACTCTCTGCACATCGTACTCTTGTCATGGTCGTGTCCGTCAGTCTGCCCACTAGACTGTGAACTCCCCAAGAGCGAGAACTCCCCAAGGCCTAATACATTTCCTAATGCGTGGTGGTGGTTTGTAGAATGAATGAATGAATGCATTAAAAGGTGTTTATTTTAAAGGAAGGGTGTCCCTAGAATAATCAGTGTTTCTCTGTTCCACTGCCTACACATTTAGAGTCGTTTTCTTGGTCAATCTCTTATAAAAAGGAAAAGAAAATGTTCTGTAGTAGGAAAAGAGAAAATTTCACAAATTGGGAAAAATTACAAGTGTTCTGTGAGACATATTTGTCATGTTTTTGAAAAATAAATATTGTAAGAAATTACAAGATGCTTTTTGATCATTGTTTTTAAATTGTATATATAGTAACAACTTAAATGAAAGTTTAAAGAACAATCACCCCTAATCCCACTACCCAAAAACAGCATTTAACTTTTCTATGTTCTTTTCCAAATATTTCACAAAGTCTTCTTAGTGAATATTTAGTTTTGTCCTCTTGGAGGGCTTTTATTTTTTCATTTTATAACCATTTATGCCTGGCACAGAATAGGCATCTACTAGTAAATTAGTAAGTCAACCATATTTCTAAGTTTCTTCATAGCTCTCCTAATTAACATTTTATGGCTTCAAAATATTCCAACCTGTTGCTTTTCAGTTTAACTATTATGCTTAAGTAAGAGCTTTTATTTTTTCCAGTTTTCTGCTATTACGGGTGTTTCAATGAACACCTTTATGCAGAAAAACCTCCTCTTTTAATTATGATTATTATGATAAATTCCTTAAAGAAATAGTAAAGAATTAAAGATTATGAGCATTTTAATGGCTATTGATATATATTTTTCCAAAAGGTCTTTCCCAAAAGTTTATACCAATTTACGAAGTCATTGGCAATATATTGAGTGTACAAGTTTCTTCATAGTCTTGCTGGTGTTTATTTTTGCTTGTAGGATTAATACATAAGGTAAAGGATTTAGAAATACATATAAAGCATTGGTATCCACGACCTTTTTTTAATTCGTATATATTTTACATTACTGAAATTACATTGCTATTTTTATGTGTATCCTTCATTTTAAATATAGAATTATATCAAGAGTATTTGCTTGTATCATTATAAGCTTATGATTTTTACTAGCTATAGAACATTACATTGACTTAATAAAATAATTGAATATTTAACTAGTTCTGTGTTATTAGAGATTAAAATATCCCCAATTTTTCTCTACTCAAAATGATCATTTTTCTGAATAAAGTTATATCTGCATTTCAAATTATTCCTTCCGCTTGATCCCTGACAATAGAATTGATAGGTCAAAAGGTATGAAAAAATGTCATTTTTCCCCCAAAGAGTTTTTACCTATTTGTAGTCCTGTCAGCCACAACTTTGTCAGAATTGGATGTATGTGCATTTGTATGTGTGTGTCTAGCTTTATAAGAGCACAATGGTTTTTGGTCTTTTTCTGCCTAAGAGATGGGAAGTGTGGAAGAAGAGTTCCCCAGAACAAGTCTCCAGCGGAGGTTTCCGTTTCTGTATCATCATCACCTCTCTCAGGCATTCCCCTCTCCTTTTCTGACTTCCCACTGCCGACCGCAGGATGCCAGCGCTGCCCCCTCGTGCCGAGAGTTGGAATTGCACCTTGCTCCCTGAGCTGCCCCTGTGGACCCCCTCCCTCCCGACATGTCCACTGAAGTAAGCGCCTCCCAGCCAGGCTCTAGTGGGCAAAGCGCCTGTACTCATCGCCAGGAGGCAGTCACAGCCATCACTTCGGCTTGGCCTCGGTTAACGTATGCTCCCGGATGGGGGTCTGCATGTGCCAGGCCCTGGGAATTCAAAGATGCATAACACGTGGGCTCTGCCTTCACATGCACTCTCTCCAGGTGGGAGATAGACGTATAAACTCACTGCCTCTTTCACATCATTACTTCTCTCAAGCTATCTGCTTTTCCTTTGGAGAACTTTGTTTCAAAAGGACGCTCCACCTTCCGTATCCCTGAGGCTAGGCCAAAACTGAGTCTCCCTTAGCCATTTGCTCTGCAGAAGGCTCAGCGGGCTGGGTGGCTGGGTCTGTGTTTCCCTAGCCAACAGCCCATCATGAGGCTCAATGGGCACTCAGAGATGCACATGCCACTCAGTCATGCCTTTTCCTCCATGTTCCTCTCCCACAGGCTCCTAACCCACTCTCGTGGGGCACCGGGCCGTTAGCTTTTCTGATATCTTTCAGAGTCGCCCTCTGGCTAGGAAACAAAAGATGTTATCAGATTTTAAAAGTCAAATGCAAAAGGAGAGAACAGGTATAAAAAAACATAATAAAGTTTTTAAAAATCACATCACAAACATAAGATAGTCTTCCTCAAATCTTCCAGAAAGGCCATTTTTTAGTCAAATGTTGCCCCATCTTTTCGAAAATAACCTTCAGATAGCTACATTGTATCATCGCCCCACCACCATCATATATTCTCACGTGCTTTTAGATTGTTAATTAAGTCACTACTACTCTCTGTCTCCATTTTAAAAAATAATTTTGCTATTTTCACCACTGATTTCTATACTTTTTCTCCATTTGTCTTCTCTCACCCTGAACAAATCCTCCAATTCACCTCTTTAAGGCTGAGCGCAACATTTTAATCTCAACTAGGACGAAAACAAAAAATTAGTTCAAATCAAATTCAGAAAACACCTGTGGCAGTACCGTCTTTGGTCTTATTCAGTCGTAGAACAAATTCTCTCTGTTCTCCCTAATTCAATCAGGAAGTAAAGAAAGGGTTTTAGAGCTCACCTGACTCCCTTATATGGTTTCCTGGGATAGCCATGCCCGAGTCATAGTGAACCTAACAGGACGCCCTTTTCAGATCATAGATTCCAAGAAGCTAATGTTACTTCTTCAACGTGTCTGCCTGTCCCCCGTCCCCCTTGCTTCTCTCCCTCACAGGCTCCCGCTGCCCTGGCTCCTGTACACCATCATTCACAGATTCCAACCAGTGGCCGTCAGCAGCAACGGCCTCTTCTGCGCCATCGTCCTCCTCTTCATCATGCTGCTCTTCGTCATCCTCTCCATCGCCCTCTGCAAATGGCGGATGAACAAAGTGCTCGGCTTCATCATGTTCGGACTCTACTTCGTATTCCTGGTGGTCAGCGTCCTCCTGGAAGACAGAATTCTTGTGTGCCCTGTCTCCATCTAGCGGGAAAAGCCATATCTTGCACCAACAGCATGGATGGTCCCTCCCCACTCTGGGTTCTAGGCTCCTCGACCTCTCGAGAAGAGGCGGCTGGCACACGGCCCTGAGCATTTCGAGTGTCCCTCCTTGGCGGATTTGAGGAGGATGGATTCACACTGGGCCCCTTCATTTCATAGGCTGCTTCCACCCCTGCCTATTGAAACGGCTTCATGCAAGAGACAGAGAGAACATGGGGGCTTCTCTCCATTCACCACTGACAGGTACTCCTCGCTGGTCGGAGGTACATTCGTTGTAATGATGCAAACAATGACGGAGGCTCTATACATACATATAAAATATACATATTATAAATAGATGCACATGAACACACCCTGCCTGTTCCTGTACTATACCTCTCCTTCCATACCTATAGAGTAATACATACCTGTATACAAACACAGAGAAAGAAAAATTATATATGTATAAAATCATATATATATATATAAATACAAATGCATCTTTTCAGGGATAGTTCTAGTATATTTATAGTACCTATTTGAAGAGGGGCATCAACCTTCAGTCTGAGCTTTCCCTCCAATTGTGAGAGGTGAACTAATAGAGTCATTGCTGTGAACTTCAGCCTACCTTGGACTTACTGGGATCCTGCCTGGTAAGGTGGGTGTTTTAGGGAAATAGGTTCCAGGAAGGAGGACTTGGTGGAGAGGGTCTGTAGGAGCCCTGAGTTGAGCCCTCCAAAACATTCCCTCAAGTCAAACAGGGACGACTATCTGCCCACCCCCACTGGGGTGCACTGACGGAAACCTACAGGGATACCTGGGACAGACAGAGGTAAAACCCAGATTGAGTGGATTCTGGTTTGGGGGCAGGGGGATGTGACCAGGGTTGGGTTTTTGGGGATTTTTTTTTTTAATATATTGCCCCAGCATGCAAGTAGAAAATATGACTGCAAACCAAATTAGCACTCTTCTAGGTCAGCAAGACTGTATAAACTGAACCTATATTTTTCCAATGCATGTCCCATTATCATCAAAAGAAGGGGGGCACGTTTAGCGTGACTGTCATTTAGACATATTTTGATGCTAAGGACTCACATATAATCAAAATGCCTACCAAGAGAGCCTGACTATGTAATAAGAAATACCATCAGGTAGAGGCGTTCAGTGGGACTTGCCACCTAACAGGAGCATAAGGGCATAGTTGTTTAAAGCATCTTCCAGTGTGGTCATAAAGGGCTTCAGTGTCTGAATAAATCATTATTCCTCCAGTAGAAGGAAACTGACTCTGATCAATACTGCTTGGGTTGAGGCAGCTTAGAGATGTTTGGAAAGGTATTCGCATGCTCAATGTACCCAGGAAGGTTTCTGGGTCCTAGGTCTAGTGGTGCCAGGACCAGGATTTGGTTAAAGCCCGTGCAACATCTGTGTCTCTCCTGCCATCAGGACCCAATCTGAGACTCTTTCAAGCTTACAGAGTACACTGAAGACTATACTCAGCTTTATACTGGCTTCCAAGCTGGTCACTCCAAGGTTTGGATTTCCTGATTCTGCTCAGCATTCATGGGATAGTTTCATTTCATTTATTCAGTGCCCCCCAAATTCTGTCTGACACCTTGTATGATATCCCAGGTCGATGTCAATAGAAAATAAAAACAGCAGGAAAAAAAATATATAGGCAAACTAAATTGATGAAAACATATGTAGAGTTTTTCATTTGCCCAAGTCATGCTTTCCTTAAAATCAGTTAAAAGCAAATCGAGGATGGCCCGTGATTCGTACCCATCCTACGTCTAAGTTGGTGCACACCACGTTTGGGGAACTATATCATATGTGTTCTTGTCTCCGGTCTATTGTGTCAGGGATGCCTGCGATGATTTTGTCGTGAGCACGTACCTCCTAAGACTGGGAGACAGGATGCAGGACTCACGACTGAATAGAGAGGCAGGGAGACCTGACAGCCCAGATCAAGCTCAATATTCCTCCCACGAAACCCCAGCTCACTCCACAGAGCGTGGCGCTAACAGGCAGTGCCCATCATTGCTCTTCACCCACAAGCAAAAAGCGCTTCTAAGCGGAGGACCCCTGGGAAAACAGGAAATCCAGATGGCCGCCACCCCGAGACTAGCTCTCCGGTCTCTCCAACTTTGCCAAGTCAGGTTTGCAGTTGCGTGAAAGAAACCTGCCTCCTGTTCATCAAGGGTAGGATTTCGTATTGAGGAACGAGAATGTGTGCTCGTTCCTTAGAGTGAAAAAGAATAAGTGAAATTGTTGTTAAAAACTCTGGTGGTTTTCCTTGAAGGGGAGCAAAGTTGGTTATTGCCTGAGTATATAGTATTGACTGGCTTGTTTGAAAGAATGTTCGAATAGGTGACTTTGACTCAACTGCAGATAGACTCTGTAGAACCATACAGGATGAGGGAGGCCGGGTGTAGCCCTGCTCTTATTTCAGCACCTCCTGATGCTCCCCCTGCCTCCTCACTCCTCCCATTCATTCCCAGCTGGCAGTGAAGACTCCTCCAGGCAGCCACGGGACATCTTACTTGCTGGGAGCTCCACTTCATAGGGAGAGTTGTAGCCATTAATAAAAAGTTGTATTTGAGAAGACAATATTTCCCAGCCCAGGTCCCCCCTCAGTGATGTGCCCTGAGCGTGGTGTGCAAGAGTGTTCCCTGGCTGGCTGGTACACAGGCACCTTCTCCCTGCCACTGCTTGCCCTTGCACTCCCCTCATTGTGTGTCTGTGAGGTTATGTGTTGGGCTAGGGCACATCCAGAGAGAAGTGTATAGAATGCAACACTAGATCTTTAAAAGCATTCAAATCGTTAAAATAATTATAAGAAAGAACTTTCCACGTCATGGTTTCCTCAGTAGGTCATCTCTAGTGCCTTTCCTGCAAGCCTGTGAATACACATATATAAATAGATATGTTGATACAAGATCTACATGTACACACACAATATCACTTTCATCATCACCCTCTGACCCGATCCCATTCAGGATTCAAAAGCAGGGAGCATCAAGTTTGCCGTAGTGAAGGAAGAGGAAAGTCATGCACACCAACAACCAAAGGGGACATTCTTTCCTGATCTCATAAATAAGGTGGTTTTGTTCTGTGCCCATATACACACAACCATACACATATGCACCCACCCCACATATTGTCCCACCCCAAGAATATAGATTTACAGCCTTAAGGAAATGGCCAGCCATAGCTGATGTAAAGGCAAAGGATACACAACAGAAAAGTACAGGAAAAAATGTAGACTGCAATACTCTTTCTGCTTCCCTGGAGCAGGGTGTAAAATAATATCACAAATTCAAGCACCAACTTCTTACTGCTCAGTCTGAAATAAACAAGCTGTACCCAAATGGTTCCATTTACCTACAGCAAACCAAGCAGGTCTTGCTTGCTGTCACCTCCCCTGTCGCCCTAGGCAGCCTCAGGACAGGAGAACAACTTGGCTCAAACCAAGAATGCCCATATAGAATCTTCTAGATTGCATCTGGGAACGCCAGCACTAAGTCCAGCTGTCCTCTGGACCTGTCTAGTTCCTAAAGAACTGAAGCTGGAGATGTGATGGTGTTTACACAGCTTCCAAGGACCTAAGCTGAGCCAAGCAGTGACAGCTCGGGAAAGCGCAGTACATGTGCAGGGACGAGGGGTAGGGTTGTTTATCAATTTGGCAGATGCAGCAGAATATCCTAAAGCCTTGCCCAAAAGATTATAAAAAGAGCCAGGGACTGTTTCATATTTGGGGAAAATGCTTTGTAAGGCTTCTAACAGGTGTCACCTGACAGGGGCCATTAGAATTTATTTTCTAGGGAAGACATGAATCAGGTGGTTTGGAGCCCTTTCAGCAAAACACAGCTGCCTGGCTGATGAGACATTCGATAATATTAATGTACATCCACCCCCGGACGGGGAGAGAGTCAGCGAACTCCCCACCATCGTTCACAGTACTTAAATTCCTCTGTAACAGGGAGATAGGAGATGAGCTATAAAGCAAAGTCCCCCCACCAGGCCACCTTAACAGAAAGCTGACCAAGGAAATGACCACAGATAGAGCTGCTGGCCAGATAGATGGTGGAGAGGATGGGCCTTCTGTTAAATGTTCTGCTGAAATTACTGGGTTGGAATGTCTGACGTGGGTCTGAGGACCTACCTGAATACAAGCATTTCAGAAAATTTCAATATGTTTTCTTCTCTACATCTACCAACACACACACCCAAGATTATGAGGATGTTATGCTTCCTTGCAGCTGGACAGATGGTTACTCAAATAATTAAGTGGGCATATTATCAGTGGCAGCTCTGTTCCAGAAGAAATAAAGGAAACTTCTCTCAGGGTGGTTTCTGGAGAAATCAGCTGTCTCCAGAAAGCTTGTTATAGAAGCTAATGCTCCTTCTTGCCAAGCCAGATCTAACATAAACACCTGGCTTAATATTTTTAAAAGACACATCCTCAACTCCCCAGCAGTATTGTCTTCAATTAGTAGGTAAGGGCTTATGATTAAGATAGAGTTAGTAAAAAAAAATAAAGAACAAAGAAAGAGAAGAAAGAAGTTAATTTACTTCTACTAGGATTCCCAAGAAAGCAAGTGTCACATTGATATATATCCCTATGTAGTTTAAAATAATTACAGATTTCAGGCTTTTTTTAACCAATTACCTGAGCCTATATAGAGTCCCAGATAAAAATATTTTCCTTTCCCAAGAAGGCCTTTTCTTGGGAAAGAAAGGTAACGTGCCCCTCATTCCACTGTGTACTTAAGTTTAGCTCCTTGCCTCTGTGTCTTTGGGTTTCTGACGGCTTCATATTCTTTGAAATATATAGCAAACAAGAAAAGCAATAACGGGTGTGCTCACAGCCAGCTAAACACCACTACTTACCATTACGTCATCACGCTATTTTTTCACTTCACTGGGAGCTTTGAAACTGCACAGGCTGTGGCATGTAATCACCAGGCATCTGTCAAAATCCTAGGTGCACTCATGCTTGCTATGGAAGTACCACATGTTTTCCACCTGGACCCCCCACACACAATGTGCACACTGCCACTTTACATGCCTTCCTCCCACACAGGGGATCAGCCCTGCTCAGAACCACCTGAATTCCATAGCGGTCTTGCATCTGACTGGTGACAGTTTTCTTTAAAAAGAGCAAGAGAGAGCTACAAAGGACAAATAAGCCACAACAGCCAGTTTTTAGAGACAAAAATGACCCTGTAATTATGACTGGATAGACAATTATGTTCAAATTAGTAGACAAATACTGGGAGACTATATGGAACACCAAATGACCTCAGCCAAGGTCCTTTCACTAAATGATTGATTGACAGACTGGAAAACCTTAAAGAATTTTTTAAAAACAGATAAATACCTAAGTCTGAAAGACTGCCATGTTGCCAAGGTTGATTTCTGTTAGGAGAGTTTGTCCACCCTGTCACCCTCATCAAAAGGACAATCCTTTTGTAGGAGAGGGGTCCTGGCACAGATGTTCCTGGCATCCCAGTTCCATCAACTATTAACATTAACAACCATCAGTGTCAGAAAAGTCTCCCTCCAGGTTAACCCAAGCCCCTCAAGTTGATGACTTCACCTATTTTTTTCTTCTCGGCAGAAGAGAACTGCATCCGGGCCCTCCTCACTGTTTAGCCCTGACCTCACCACTATGTGACCCTTTATCTGTTTTCATCAAAAGTATCTTTAGATTTTTATTTCTGAGTCTTTTTCTCTAACCCTCTCAATAATTTTTACAGTTCTTCCCTACCAAGCTTTTTAAAGTGCTTTATG